ACTTCTTCGGATGCTCTAATAAATTTGTTAGTCTCTAAGGTGCCACAAGTACTCCTGTTCTTTTTGCGGATACAGACTAACACGGCTGCTACTCTGAAACCTGTCTTTAAAAATCATGTAAGCATTTCTAACAGGAAATAAATGGTTTCCCTGCAGTGTTTCCAACCCAAACATGCTACAGGATTGAGAACCTAGAAGAAAAATTTGCCTTTTTTTTAATCCAAGCTATGAAATACACAAAGTAAATGAACAGCATACCTCATGAGACTCAAACTGAACTTTTGAAATGTTCAGTCTTGATAATCTAAGGTGATGTTAGTGACATATTGAAGGAGACCTGTTTACAACATGTGTGTTTTTTTTAATTGATAGTGTCACGACTCACTTTCTAACACAATTAACTGACAATTGGGTTTTATTATAGCTTATTCCACTAGGTGGTGCAACTCTAGTGTAGATCCAGAGTGCATGTGAAATGCTGGTTTCATTCTTTAGTGTCTTCTCAAAGTGCAGCAGGGGACTTGCACTTATAGCAGCTCTCTGTACCAACGGAGAGCTTTTACAACCTTAAGTGCCGGTTCTGTCCTTTCCTGCAAGCTGTCACAGTAATGGCAGTGGGCTGAGCAAAGACTGAAGGGAAGGTTGCATCAACTGACTACTGATACAATGAAGTCTTTAGTGAAGGGATGATTGTCTACTTCTCATTGAACACTTTATTATATACATGTAAATTAAATAAATGATGCTAATATATTTGATGCTCTACTGAATCTGTTTATGTCCTTAAGTTAGATTTACAGCATAAACTTTGCCTCTGGTATGCAGGCTTGTCCTGCTAACACTTACTTATGTCTTTCTTTTTCAAGTCAATGTTGGGGAAGATTGCCCGGTGTTTGATGGGTTGTTTGAGTTTTGTCAGCTGTCTGCAGGAGGCTCTGTTGGTAAGCACAAGAATCCTAGATGCTTTCTCTTTTTAGGAGAATGTCCATAATGTCGCTCTGTCAGAAAAGAAACATGATGTTGGAGACATTTCTAGATTCCGTAAAAAATTGGTCTGACATGTTGTGATCATTCTCAAGCCCCGATGCATTGGAATGAGATTGGTCAGTGGTTGAGAATGCTTTATGACTGTATGTAAGGTCTGGGTCTTCAACATTAGCCATATTCTCACTCATCCAAAGATCATTTAAGTGGTCATGTTGAGGAATTTCTGTGTATGGAATGAAAGCATCGTGAATGACTTTGTTTCAGTAAAGCTAGCCCTCTGTTGTTGAAACCTTGGTTTATTTAAAGATATCTTGTTTTTTAATAAAAACTTGCTCCAGGTCTGTGTGACCACAGCCTCAGAGCAGGTGTTTTGTTTTACAAAAAGAAATCCACTTGTCTCTCTCTTTTGATAACAAGGAAAAACAAAAGCAGGAAGATTTCAACAAACTCTCTAAAACCTGTATCATTTAAAATAAAATGGCATCCTTATTCGTGAGTTTTTGGCACAGTGTAATGCAGCGTTGAGAGACTTTTACTGTACATGTGCTTAAAAGCTTTGTGGCTTACTACAGACTGATAGATATCCTTATTTTCTGAAATATAAAGCCTGACTACACTCAAACTCCAAAAAGATAAACATATGCTTGTCCAGCTGACAGACACATCTGAAGTACCTATTCCGGTCTCTTATCACTAAGGCTCTGATCCTACAAAAGGATTCATCTGTGCTGACCCTTAGACCCATGCAAAGTTGCACTGAGCATAAGAATGGCCATACTGGGCCAGATGGACCTTTGGTCTGACCCAGTATCCTGTCTTCAGACAGTAGCCAATGCCAGGTGCCGCAGAGGGAATGAACAGAACAGGGAATCACCAAATGATCCATCCTCTGTTGCCCATTCCCAGCTTCTGGCAAAACAATTCTAGGTTCTACCAAGATCTGAACCGCATGGAACCACACAGTGGAATTGTGTGCAGGCTCTAGGGTTTGTGGGAAGTCCCTTTGCCTAGTTATCTATACAAAGGACTAAACAAAGCTAACTGTGTACATGACATAAAACTATCCATGAAAGGTTCTCTTTAGGAAACTGATAAATAAAACTAACCTGTACTTTAACCGTGACTCGAGCTAGCAAGAGCTAGCAGGCTGTGGACCTGTTTTCAAATCAGGCTCTCCATTTATGTTCTGAACTAGAGGTGTGGCATGGGAGCAAGACTGTGCTGTAAAAATAGATGCTTAATCTGAGCCCTCCCAGCACCTTTACATTACACTGATCTCTCTTCTACAGAGAGATTACAGTAGTGTCACCCAGTAGTGTCATCCCAGAAGACCCCAGAGAGTCTTCTGCCTTACTGGTTTGTATGAGAAATCCAGTGTTTAAACCTTTGATATTTGTACTGTTATACATGCAGGCATATGGAATGACACGTGGCCCCACAGGGCATGCTGCCTTTGTGTGTTCTCCAGAGTTTGTCAGGGCTCTAGTCTGTCTTTCTTGCTAATGTTCTGCAATTCTTCTCCCTGCAGCCAGCGCTGTGAAGCTGAACAAGCAACAGACAGATATTGCTGTGAATTGGGCAGGAGGCCTTCACCATGCTAAGAAATCGGAGGCTTCTGGCTTCTGTTATGTCAACGACATTGTCTTAGCCATCTTGGAGCTACTAAAGTACGTGCAGTACTTCTTATCCCTTTTGTTTGTCCGTTCTGCTGCATTTTCTTTGAGTCCTTTCCACTTTCTTCCTAATTTGCTCCTTTTTGTTACCTTGTTAGCTGTCTTTTCTCAGGAGGGCTTTATCAGACGTCTTTTTTTGGATGCAGTGCCCTCTCTTCAGCAGGGGTTGCTGTACTTATGGTATGATGCAGTAGATGAAAGGCCTCTTTGGTGCTTCTTCCTTGGCACAAAAAAAGTGGCACTCCTGTAATTTGTGTCCTGATGGTTACCATCCTGGCGACTTTTGGCATGAGGCAGCTCTAAGTAGGAGGCTTGGACATAAAATGTGCGATTCACTGGTTGTCTGTATAAACGGAATTGATCAAAGGTCAGTTGCTGCAGCAATAGCCACTTCGATTTCCTCGGTGATTCTTTTCCGCTGCCAACCAATTCAAGGCGCATGTCAGTGCTCTGCGTCTGTTTTGCTGAGAGACTCCAGAGCGAGACAGCAAATTGGTAACCATACAGCCTGGGGATTAGCACCAAGTTCTTTACTCTCCTCCTATTTGCTCTGCTGCTGAAGACTGTTTCCATTCTGAAGAAATGCAGCATTTTGACTCCCTTCTGATTCTAGGTACCACCAGAGGGTGCTGTATATTGACATTGATATTCACCATGGAGATGGCGTGGAGGAAGCCTTTTACACCACAGACCGTGTCATGACTGCATCCTTTCATAAGTATGGAGAATACTTCCCAGGAACAGGGGATCTGCGGGTGAGAATGGAGGCTTAGTAGAAACTTCCCCTGGAATTTGATTTGTTCCATCTATTCACTATCCAACTAATTTCACCAAAACGCTGTTTCTGTGTTCGCTGGTTTAGATGGACTCTCTCAAAATGGCAGCTTTTGTTTAATAAGAAATGTGTGTGACAATTAACTTTTGTAACTCACTCTTTGAGGGAGTGCTGAGTCTCTGTGGTGTTATATCTATTATACAGTAACAATGCCCAGACATCAGATGTCAGTTAGTCTGCAGCCTTGTAGCGTGGGACTCTGAACATCGCATCTTGGTGGGCCGTATTTATTTGCAAACTGACTTCCATGCTCCCCTTCTGGCCCTATTGCTTTGATCTCACAAGTTATGCACGGTCTGGCCATGCCAGTCCTTGAACGGGAGACCTACAAAGGAGCACCTTGTGCTGCGGAAATGATACTAGTGATTCAGCAGGTGGCTTTTCTCCCTCTGAGTTGGTGCTGAGTCTCATGGCCCATGCTGGGACATGGTTATTGGGCGGTGCTGTCTTTCAAATGAGACACAACTGTGGTCCTGCCTGCTTCTCAAGAGGTAGGGATGTTAACCCTAGAGTCATGGTCTGATACCAGTTAGGGTAATGGCATTCTCCTGACCTAAATTCCCTCTTGAGTTTTAGTTGGGTGTAGAATTGTTATATGTAGACTGTCCTAAGTTATGGGGTGATACGTACTTGTAGCTAGCTGCTACATTCGATCCTAGAAGCGGCCACGCTACAGCAGTGAGTGAAATTCTGTTTTGTCAAGTGCTTTGGTATGGTACTGTGCGCTGTAGATAGAAGATATTGAATTGTTTTTAAAAATCAAAACTACACTCTTGTAAGATTCCTCCAACTGTAAATACTGCAGGCTCAGCCTGGTATCGGACTGCAGCCTGATTCGCATTTTGCTCTGTACGTCCTTGCCAACAGTGTAGAGTCTGGAACTGGAAACTTGACGGCCAGTTTTCCGCTTTCCTTGATGTGGGAGAGAATAAAATCTGGCTTTTCTGCAGCACTACTGGATCTGCACAACATATAGTTTTTACTAGCCGAATGTACAACTGAGAACTCAGACACAGAGTGAGACAGTAGATGTCAGTAGGAATTGATCCTTCCCATGTATCCTATCACAGCAAGACGTTCTTCGTGTCTGTTCCTGGGATTGAACTTTCTGGGGCAACCAGTAAAGTATTCTCAGTAGAGCATCCTTGCTTGTGGAACCTGTTTCCTCTAAAAAAATCTGCTATTGGCTTGTAACTGGGGCTGATACAAGGCCCACCTGTTTGGACTTTTTAATGACCCTTTCAACGAGGCCCAAGTTTCATGGAACTTGTGACTCCAATTTGACTCAGTTGAATGTTTGACTAGATGCTGAGGCAAGGGCTGTCATGTCAGTAGAATTCCAAGGTGCTGTTTTACTCCCTTTCTTGATTATAACCTCGCATTACTCTCCGTTAGCTATGTAATGTCTAGATTGATTAGTTGAATGCAAAGGCCAAATGTATCCACTTACCCCACGGCTAATCCTCTGTTGAAGTCACTGGAATCATGCCCGCTGATGTCCCCAAGTGCCTTGGTGGAATCTCAGACTTTCCTTTCTGCGTTGGCACATATATGTTGGCGTTTCTCTGGTGACCCTGTGGTCTTTCCTGTCTCTCACTGTAATAGGATATTGGTGCAGGCAAAGGCAAATATTATGCTGTCAACTATCCTCTCCGGGACGGAATTGACGATGAATCCTATGAGGCAATATTTAAGCCGGTAAGCCTCTTTTTCTGAGTGAGTCTTGGATGCTGCTTTGTCTTTTTCTAGTGGCACTCTGATGAGGGGAGATGCAGTCCTGTGCTGTAAGATTCCCTAGTGTTTATTCCTACTTGACAATTATAGCGGGTCACTTGTAGACTCTTATCTGTAAGAGCTTCAATGTCACCAATATGGGAGGGAGGCAACAGCCAGTGAAGCATCAGTGAATATCTCCAAGTCAGCTGCTGACATGGATTTCATTGTGTTGCTGTGACACCGTCCCAAGGGAGTGTGTAACAACGGATTTCTTGTCCAGGTGATCTCTAAAGTGATGGAGACGTTCCAGCCTAGTGCAGTTGCCTTACAATGTGGATCGGATTCTCTGTCAGGGGACAGATTGGGCTGTTTTAATCTGACCATCAAAGGTAAGAGGACACTGCTTCTAGCAAAGCAGTCGAACCAGGGCGGTGGCCTTGAGGAAAGCTCAGACATGTAAAATACAGTATTTGTGGTGGCACTTGTGTGATTGATGTAATCACTGTGTTGAAAAGCTTACTGTCCAGTTACCCAGTGAGGCTATGAACTTTCTCCCATTCCCTATGCTGCAGGTCATGCCAAGTGTGTGGAGTTCGTAAAGAGTTTTAACTTGCCTATGCTGATGCTAGGAGGGGGTGGCTACACAATCCGCAACGTGGCTAGATGCTGGACTTATGAGACTGCTGTGGCTTTGGACACGGAAATTCCAAATGGTAAGACTATATCATGTGTTGTATTGAGAGGATGGGTGTCTAGTAATAGAGCTTGGGGAAAACTTAAATTGCTCTGAGTAGGTGTAGGAGTCCTGTGAAGTAGCCTGGACACTTCACTGGATGCTGATTTTTATTGTGTTAGAGCTCTCTGAGCTACCGCTGTGTATGTGATGTATTCTAGTCCTCCAGTGCCTCCTTAGAAACCATTTTTCCCCTACAGCACACAATGGTTGGTGTGTCCTGGGGTTAAAGCAGCGAATAGTCTTTGGCCCCACTGTCACAAAGTTTGTTTTTCTGAGCATCCCAGGAGAGCTCCAGTCACCCCAAAAGGAAATGTTCCATTTATTCTCATAACACCTTGAACCTCATGTGATGTTTGCTGTTTCGATACCAGACCAGTAACCAATCAAGGTTATTCTGTGTTCTAATCTTTGTGCAGAGCTTCCATATAATGACTATTTTGAATACTTTGGACCAGACTTTAAGCTCCACATCAGTCCTTCGAACATGACCAACCAGAACACCAATGAGTATCTTGAGAAGATTAAGTAAGTGTTGTCTGTTACTCCTAGCAAGATTGGTCCCTTACACTGGGGGCTTGTTTCTGTTAATGCCTTTTAGATCACCAGCATGTGGGGGTTTTGGTTTGTGTTTTTGCTGGTTGTAGGCAGCGGCTATTTGAGAATCTACGCATGCTCCCTCATGCCCCTGGTGTCCAGATGCAGCCGATTCCCGAGGATGCCGTGCAGGAGGACAGTGGAGATGAAGATGAAGAGGATCCTGACAAACGCATTTCAAGTAGGTGCCCGGCTGTGGGCATAAATTGCCTTGCGTGATCATGGACCATGCTGCTGAACCTTCCCTTGGTGTAGCAGTGCTGTTGCTAGATAACTTCCTTAACGAAAGAATCTAGATTTAATATTAGAGCTCGAACTATTGCCAAAGCCTCCTGTGGGGAAATGACTGATGAAACACTGAAAGCTGCACTGTCCGTTTACAGGCTCCCGCTGTTCTAGCAAAAGTCGCCCTTTAGCTGTGAAAACACTAGCTTATATCCAGGCTGTCTTATGCCCTTTGGGTCTGGGAGTCAGATTTTCCCAGTGTGAAGTTAGTTAACCTGTTTGTGCTGGCAGCTTTAGACATCCTGCTGTAAACCTAACCCAAGGCGCATATACTTGTTACACTGAGAGATCTCCGGTTCTGACCTTGGCTGCTGCAAGTAGCTGGCTAAGCTGTGATTCTAGTAGGATTGTTGTATTGCTGCACAGTAGTAAAGATTTTTGGCACGGCAGAGCATTCCACATGTACCTTCCTAAATATGTTTGTTGCCTTACGGACCCCTGGGAAAAAGACTCCAGTGTGACTGAGGTAGCTTCTCCTTCTTTGCTCTCAGTGCGCTCTGCTGACAAGAGAATAGCCTGTGATGAAGAATTCTCAGACTCTGAAGATGAAGGGGAAGGTGGTCGCAAAAATGTTGCCAATTTTAAGAAGTCCAAGCGCGTAAAAGCAGAAGATGATAAGGAGGAGGAGGAGAAGAAAGGTAGGTGTAAAACTGGAACTAGCCGTATGTCGGACTGCTCCCTAGAGCAGGACTCTGTAATGTGAGGGATGAGTAAAGCTGCGTTTTTGTTGCAGAAGTTAATGTTTCTGCGGTTCATCTTCTAGATTGCTGACGATTGATGTGTGAGAGATGTTGTTTGAACCACTCCACTAACAATGGGAACCTTGAAGGAGCTGCCAGAGTTAAACCCGGGTTGCCTGGCAGGCTAATAGAGAACAGGAGTTTAGTAACAACACCCCAGTGACGCATGGGACTGACACAGTGCTTAACATAGTCTGGAAAGAGCGTGTTGGCGTGGGGTCTCATAATCTGGGGCAGCTGCTTTGATAAGACAGCGCTTAAAGTGCGACCTGGCTTAATTCAAACAAACAAACAAATGTTGCCAGGTCTGTGACCCCGTCTAACTGTCCCCATCCTCGCATTTCAAGCACTGACAGGTGTACTCTCCATGAGTGCTCTAATTTCACCCAGGCTGGGGAAGTTTCTTCTTCCCCAAGGCAAAAAAGACTCTGCTCTCTCCGATTCTGGTTTTAGGTGGGTTTACCAAGGTCTGGCAACTGTTAAAATCTGTCCTCGTGTCACCATCCCAACAATTACCACGAAGATGGAAAAACGAAGTATTGGGCTTTGAGACAATGTCTGATACTTCTGTGCTATTGCCCTCATCGCTCTGCTCCAGCAGGCCTAATGATGATCATTCCTCTGCTAAAGCTTCAGTGTGAGGCTTTAGGTATTTTGGGAAGAGGAGGAACAAACATCTGAGTCGTCTGGTTCCTTGGGGTTATAGGCATCATAACCCCAAACTCCTTTAGAATACCACATTGTCTAGCCACTAGCCCTAATTACCTTTGCACCGACTTGCTGCAGTGGGGCCCTCCTAGTGTCTTTCTTTGGTGACAGTTCTCTTCATTGGGAGAGTGAGCATAGTGCTGTGAATCAGTGGGCTAATCTATCTTTAACAAACCACAGGCCACGTGCGCAAACGCAGCCTGAGCCACTGACCGTTCTAACCTGTTCCAAAGAGAAATGCGCATGTAACAAGCTTAGAATGAGGTGACTGTTAGTGGAGTCCTCAAAACAACTACATAAAGGCTACAACCTGAGCTGTATCATTGCGGGCTCCCTGAGATCTGGTATAATACAGCGTGTTGCCAGATTTGCAAAAATCCTGGTCACTGCCACCCAGAAACATTCTGTGGCTTCAAACACAAGCTGTCTGACTCTCTGCTGGTCTGTTCTTTCTTTTCTTGTTGCTGGGACAACTGCTGTAGTTACTATGAAGATTTATGACTCAGATTGGAGGACAATGGAATACAGAGCTTCAGGGTGCCACAAGTGGCTCAAAACAGGTTGCTGCCCCAGACTATGGCTTCAAGTGTGGATACCTGAAGGGTTCGCCGGTTTCCAGACTCTGCCCCACACATGCAGAGTAGCTGGCATTCTGTTTTTCTACTGTAACTGCCTCACCAGTGATTTCTAATGTAATTGGACCTCCCTGACTGGTGTCTGATCCTGCCAGGTGGGGCTGGTGAGTGGTTGCTGTTTCTCTGCCTCTTTGCTATTTGGGTTTTTTTCTTTTCTAGATGAGAAAGAAGAGGAAAAAGCCAAAGAGGAGAAAGCAGAACCCAAAGGGTGAGACCTACTTCTG